TTTGTCCCGCCAGAATGTAAATCCTGTTGGATTAAAGTTCTTTTCTGATACTTCCTTGTGGTTAAACCAAATTTTTCCCTTCTGAAGCAATTTCCTCCTCCCTCCTCTCTCCCTCCCCCAAGAAATCCACTCACCTCCCACCCCGGCCTTCCCTTGCCTATAAATGCCTCCATTCCCTGAGCAGACTTGCTACCTGGGGAGGCAAAGGGACAGGTGAGTGTGACTCTCCCACCTGGGGGCACCTGACAGGTGAGACCCCCCCTACATCAGGTCGCTCTGCGTCTCTTTCTCCAACAGAAGGGAATTCTTGCAGGGGCTGTGCAGGATGTCCAGGTGCAACAGGAGATCTGGGGGAGGCGGGAAGCAAAGGATCTAGAGAGATCTCTGGGGAAGAGAAAGAGACGTACAGGGGAAAGAGATTTCCAGGGAGGCCCCTCCTGCCCTTTACAGAGCAATGCAGGATCCACCGTGACCCGCCAAGGCTGCTGGATGACCCAAGGAGGGAGAAATTAGAAATTAGATGACCCAAGGAGGGAGAAATTAGGTCCAGCTGGGCATGTGAGAAAGTGGAAACCAAAAGTGTGGGACTCCCAGCTCGGCCACAGGTTGGATGTTGGATCTCCCTTCCTGAGGAGTCCCTCCCAGGGTCCTCGCTCCCCCTGCTTCTACCCTGCCCTTTGCTCTTCTCTGCAGGAAAGGAAGACCATGGGGCGATTCATCCTTGTGAGCCTGGGCTTGCTGGTCATGGCCCTCTCCATAAGGGGTGAGTTCCAACTGGGCCACTCCCGTCCAGAGAAGCCAATTCTCTTGCCTCTGATTCCCTTCCTGATCAGACACACACACAAACACACAAACACACACACACACACAGCATCCTGTTGCTGAAGTGGCTTTCATTCTTCTTTGGCTTATTGTGGAATATAGACCCCACCTTATTTCTGTGCTACAAGACCGAGGGCTGTTGGCCACAACGGAAAAGCAAAGCAAAATTAATACAACGTACTGTAGGGTCAATTCATTGGCATCAAAGATGCTTGCAATGAAGGACTGTAAGCATGTTGTTCTGCAGAATCTTCCTCCTCCTCCTCCTCCTCCTCCTCCTCCTCC